TATATACTATCCTTCCCACACGCCCTGTGGGTCCCATAAAACCTATCCCAATACAACAGCCTTCGGCCCTCCAATCCACAAATCCCAAACTACCCCACCTAACCCACCCCGTCGAGGCAGGTACAGTACACTGGTACACTAAGCTTCTGCACTAAGCTAGCTCAGCCCAGTTAAGCTTAACAGGGGCGCTAGCGCAGTCTCCCCCAATCTTCGTATTGTTCATCTTTCATCATCGCATTTATAACCATCACCATCAGAACCCAATATCGTCGGGCGTCAATCCCAAGAGACAGGACAATTGGCTGGCCATTGAATCAATCCCTCGCCTCAATCTTATTCGCGACAACTGAATCTCTTGCGACAGCCAAGAACAACAATAATAGCAGCTGTGCGATCCAATAAGTCGAAGATGGAGAAATCGCAACCCCTTTCATCCGAGCTCCCGTCCGATCCGCCGCCAACCTACGATGCAGCAGCGAAAGAACACGGCCTTCCCATCCGCCAACCACAACAACAACAATCGCCCCAGCAGGGCCGCCGTCTTCCACCCCCCGCTGCTCTCGACCTACCCATACTGAGGTACATGCGAACACACCGAGTCATCCTCGCCTCCGCCTCTCCACGGCGCCGAGCGCTATTAGGCCAGCTCGGGCTCCCCAACATCGAGGTCCTCCCGTCGACGAAGCCCGAGAACCTGCCGAAGGACCAGATGGGCGCATTCGAATACGTGTCTGCGACAGCTCAGCAGAAGGCTCTGGACGTATACCAGGTAGCGATCAAGCAAGTCGAGGAAGCGACCCAGGCGGCGGAGAACGGCGTCCTCTTCGACGCCACCACCACCACCACAACCGCGAACGGGAATGGAGATGGCAATAATAACAACAACAAGCCGAGCTTGAAGAACAAGGACCCGGACCTAGTGATCGCGGCAGACACGGTGATCGTGACGCGGGACGGCGCGATCCTGGAGAAACCGACGTCCGAGCAAGCGCATGTGCGCATGCTCAAGCACCTCCGGGACACGCGGACGCACCGCGTGCTGACGGCGATCTGCTGCGTAGCCCCCAAACCGGACGCGAGTTTTCCGGGTTACGCCATCGCCACGCATACCGAGGAGACGCGGGTGACGTTCGCGAAAGCTGCGGATGGTTTGCCTGATGATGTTATTGATGCGTATGTCAAGACAAGAGAGGGCGTTGATAAGGCTGGGGGGTATGCGGTGCAGGGATTGGCTGGGATGTTATTGGTTGAGAAGGTCGAGGGGAGTGTGGATAATGTGGTTGGGTTGCCGGTTAGGCATTGTCTGAGGTTGTGTGAGAAGGTGGTTTTTAAGCAGGATGGGGATAGTGAGGGTGAGGAGGAGTAGGTTAGACTTGACGACTGGATCTATGGACGTGCGAAATAAGGCGATGTGAAAATTTGGCGATGCTGTTGATGGTCTGAGCGGTACATAATGAATGATTTGTTGATATATATAATGGGTTTGGTTATGCTGGGCATAAAAGCGGGATATGTAGCTGCATCGTATCATATATAGCATTTTCTTATATATGTCTACCTATCTGTAGGACTGGTGGGCGAGACCACGTCATTATATGGTGTTGTTCTTGTGACTGCGCATACCGATGCTGTGGACCGCCAAGACGAGCTTGCTGCTCAGCTCAGAGGGTGGCTTGCATTTCGCAGCAGAACATCTCGAACTGCTTTGCGCAATCGAATCAAACCTCATATCGTCTCCTGGACTGGAAGCGAACTCCGCACGAAGCGCTGATGGGGAAATAGGCGCTGGGAACCACGCTATTCGGCGATCTGTACAGTATTAGATCCTCTAGATCTTCATGTTTCAACTACCCGCCAGGAATACTAGCGTCAGGAATACTACCGTTATAGCTAATAAGATGCGCGCTTAGTTTACGGCTTCTGCAATAAGGATGCTGCAATAAGGATGTTGCAATAAGGATGCAGTTCTTAGAAGCCGGACACGGCTGCGATTATCCATCTTGGCACAACTCTCGATCGGTCTTCTAAGCTAGCTTACAACTAAGAAGCTTTATCTTCACGATCCGTCTTGTCGGTATGCTGATATAGCCGCCCCCGAAAATGGATTCAACAATCCGACCTCGCTGCGATGTCTGTTACGATCTCAACGAGAAGGCCGCCCGCCTAGCAGTCTATGGCCCCGAAGGAATCGACGGGCCATACGGAAATGACCAAGCTATCAAGAAATCCGTAGTTGAGGGGCTACTGTTTATACATGTCAACAGAGATCTTGTCAGAGCTAAGGCGAGCAAATGTGTTTTCTGTGCGCTGATCACGCACGTCGATTCCTCGCCGGGCCCAGGGACTCACCTTCTACGACTTTACGCGGACCGCCCGCCAGTCATTGATATGGACAGCGCTAGACAGAGGCGGAGATTCGAGGTATATCGGCTGACAGGTAAGGATCATCATTATGAATTTGCGTGGAAAGAATGTGGTTGGCCGAAGTTTATCAGCATGGCAATAATGCTTCGTTACAGACCTTACACCCGAGCCGGAGACAACTTCGACAATGCTTGAAGTTTCCGAAATTCCTTCAATCCAGTACATCCCGACGAGGCCTGAAATCAGCAACGAGCCATTGTCAGAGCGGGCTTTTACCTTCATAAAGAGATGTCTTGAAACATGCATTCAGGAGCACAGCGTTTGCAAGCAACGCCCGTCGCGTCCGCCGAAAAGGCTGATATACATACAAGACCCCGAAAGCAGCTCCGTCAAGGTCATCAAGACATCTCTCAATTTCAACGAGCCATACGTAGCCCTGAGTTACTGCTGGGGCCAAGGCGTGTGTCTCAAAGCAACTAAGTCCAACATACAAGACATGATGGCAGGCATCTCGCGCGCCAACTTACCCTCAGTCATCTCAGACGCTATCCAGATAACCGCCACACTAGGATTCAGATATATCTGGGTCGACTCGCTCTGCATAATCCAAGACGACGCGCAGGACTGGGACGAAGAGTCGTCACGCATGTGCGCAATCTACGAAGGCGCGTACATAACCATCGCAGCGTCTTCTTCAGAATCAGCCGATGTCCCCCTGACTGAACGACACCGGCGCCACGAGCCCATTATTTTCGAATATCGCCAGAACACATCCTCCACCTCTAGAAACCACCCAGCGCCTCCTATTGCCCGCCTAGCAGCGCGCGAAGAATGTTCCTACGGCTTCCACAACGAAGACTCTGCTCGCCGGCCCGACCGCGAGCCCCTGCACGACCGCGGGTGGACACTCCAAGAAGCCATATTATCCACGCGCGTGGTCTTCTTCACACCTACCGAACTCCAATGGCAGTGCCAAGCGCAACAGACGTGCGAATGCTTAATCCCGCCGCCCATCAAACCAGACGCCATCACCACGCGGGCACATATCTGGGAACGTTCAGTTGGTCAGACAGGGCCGGCGCCGCGCGAGCGCGAGATCTACGCCGCTTGGGACAGGATTGTGGAAAGGTACACGGAGCGCCTGCTCACGAACCCGGATGATAAGTTGCCGGCGCTGAGCGGGCTTGCGCAGTTGGTGCAACGGAGTATTTCCATGCCAGAGAGAGTGGAAAATCTGGAGGTTGGGGCTGAGGATGGGAATAGGATGCAGACGGAGCGGAAGTTGGAGTATGTCGCGGGCTTGTGGACGGGCGATCTTATCCGTGGCATGCTTTGGGGGCCCAGGAACATGACTGTGCAGCTCCCGTCAAGTCCTGTGCGAGGTACGACGCCTACCACCGGTCTTATTAGTACTAATAATGGACTTGACGACTGTTCAGTAAAGCCGGAAGAGACCTCATATTACCGCGCCCCCTCATTTTCATGGGCCTCAGTCGACGGCCCCGTGTCCTACCGATCGCGCAATTCCGATCTATCACTAGAAGACGAAGCCTACGTCGAGACGGCGCGGGTGGTCGATTTCTGGTCTCTGCCCGCGGGCGTCGATCCCTACGGCCGGCTCACAGCAACCACCGGAAATCCTCAATCTCGACGCGGCTCCCGCACCGGCGTCGTGTTACGGGCTCCTGTGATTGAGGATTGTGCTATAATTTGGAACACGTCGCGGAACATGCACAATTCGCCGTGGACACTTCGTGAGATCGAGCCTTTGTGGGATACGCTGTGGCTGGATACTAGTGTTGTGGAACGTTTCGCCGTCGGTGATGCTTCAATACCAAGAACTGGTCAGAATGAGTGCGAAGGCAAACTCAAAGGAGTGATGCCGCAATGGTCTGTTCGAAGATGGCACCGGGAAAGAGCCGACATTGATAGAGAAGTAGAGAAGGGAGTTGTTATGGGTGGTGTCTCACTGCTCATGATGGTGCAGAGCTCGCAGGTGCAGCGCTTCCTGCTCCTGGGAATCTCGCCTTCGGACGGGACTGCGTACGAACGTCTGGGTACGGTATCAATAAGTCGAGTAAGTGGTGGAGGTGATTTAGTCCGGCTATCAAAGGAGATCTTATCACATAGTGATAGTGTTGAGCTAGAGGGCATAGAGTGGACGGGAAAAGGGGGAGTGGTGTCCCGGATGCGGACGGTTACTATCATATAAAAAATTATTCCCTTATGTTAGACCGTAATACTAATACTACACAACTCCTTCATAGAGCAAGCACATTAGAACAGTTTAACAGGTCCGATGTATTTTTACAAAGTGTCTTAACATTGAATAATGCTGTAATCAGGGCCAGGTTGGAGTCTGAGCCCGATATTTAGATGTACTGTGTGCAAATGAAAAGTAGTATAGTGGAAAGTCGAGAGAAAAAGAGAAACACGCTGCAATGGTGCAGTGCATGTGCAAAAGGTTTTAATACATAGCATCTAATTTCAATGCGTTAATTACTTGTATCTTGTCGGTCGAATCACGAGACACGACGGATTAATTTCGAGGACCTCTCACTTGTTGCTAGGGTTGTCTCCCCTTCTGTTAGGAGGGTTAGCAAGACAGGAAAAAAAAGAGAAGGAAACAGAATTCGAGAACTGAACGGGAATTGAACCCGTGACACATGGACTAGGCGTCCACTGCTCTACCACTGAGCTACCTGTTCCTGTTTCGACTAACGGCTTCATTGCAGTTGGAAATACATGTTTCTAATATACCTATAATCTAGGTGTCATTAGGGTTGGCACTGGCTTCTATGGAGTCAGTGCTTTGGGGGCAGCCCTTTTAGTTCTTTATATGCCGTATTGATCCACCGGGCCGTGGAATTCGACCCTTCACAATAGTCTCCATAACATCGATAGGTATATAGTGCCTTGTCTGGAAACCTTTTAGAAATTCCTGATATTCGCGTGTCGGCTCTACCAGCGCAATTTACAGATACACGCTTCTCCCGCTCTGAGCAACACCACATCTACTTCGGCCAGGCTCCTTTTGTCTTCCTGGAATTCCATTTGGCCGAATGGTATACTACCTATTCGTCGTACAGACAAAGTCCAGGTGCGTTACCTTAACATCTACAGCTTCCCCGAGACGAAGCACTAGCCGCCCGCACAGATCGAGGTAGAGCTAGTTGCTCTCTTGGAAGTTGATTCAGTAGCATTTCGGTTCCTTTGAATTTCAGTAGGCTTCGCCTCAGCCTTCGGGCTTAACACAAACTATGGCGCACCTCGCTCAAGTGCTCCAGTTCTTCCCCTTACGGGTAGATCCGCAAAATATTATAGAAGTTTCACATACGAAGAAGCTGTACGGCTTATATTTTATTTATTTGTTTGCCCGAAATTCGATTTATATCATAAACACATAAGCCTCGACGAAATCAACGTAAACACGTGGAACACTTATTAGACAGACGCAAAGAGGCCGAACATAAGCCTGAAGTAGGGGGCGAATCAGGATGATGATCTAGATGGAGACAATATGAACCCACACGATGACAACAGCAGCATCGGAAACCGTTTCAGGGAGAGCCTTGAAGTCGGTGTCGAATCTGTGATGACATCGCCGGTGTACTGCTGCCACTGTTAACCACAGTCCAAGCGAGCCGCGAGAAGCTCTATATCCCTGCTTAATTGTGCCATGTCCTTGAGCGCCATGTTGACATACCCGACGACGAGGGCCTATACTTTGGGCTTGACAGTTGTAAGCATATCAGGGAACACGTTTGCGAGGACGAGTCACGCTGCTTGGCTCGGCTGTTCGCCGGCAACGGCGATGAGGACAGTGCCGAGTTGTCATCATTGTCCAGGCTGGATTGAAACCTCGCGCTCCGGAGCGAGCGTAGAAAAGGCTTTCGATAACCGAATTCAGCTTGTTAATCAATTCCATAGTTTATTATGCGTATATTGTTTATCATAATACATCAGAGACATTATGCTACATTTAACAGGTCTTATATGTCTCTGTACACTATCTTAACGTTGAATCATGCCATAGTCAGGCCCGGGGTCGGAGGTTGACTCCGTGCGATGGACGTGTTATGTGCAAGTAAAAAGTAGTATAGTAGAAAATCGATAGGGAAAGAAAAATACGATTTGCGGCATATATAAAAGGCTATAATTATATAACATCTAGTTCTAATGCATTTTTCAAACTACGAGACACGACGGATTAACTTCGAAGACCTCACTTGTGTCTCGATTTGTTTCCCCCCTTGCCAGGAGGGTCAGAAAAGCAGGAAAGAAAACAAAAAGGAAATGAACGGAAGACCTGATAGGAATTGAACCTACGACATATGGAAGTGTAGTCCATTGCTCTACCACTGAGCTACCAGTCTCTGCGAAATACAATGATTACAAGATGAAGTCTGTCAAAATATACCAATCTATATTGTGACAGAGCGAGTAGATTAGCAGGGGGGTTCAATTGCTTCTAGCCTTTGCTTTTGGTCTATAAAGCTACGAGTTGCTCCCGGTCTCCTTCGGAGACCACATGTACAAATAGCAGGCCGGTTCTCTACTTCACTTCTACATGAATATATTACCAATCCATTGCTTTGCTACATATTTGTTCCCATTATGTACCATATTTATGTGGTATAGCATGCAGTCTGCTTTAATATCCATAGCGTTAGTCCAATAGCGAGGTATCTATATTCCTCCCTTCTTCCCTTGCCTCTCATAAGGTCAACATCCCACTTGACTAGGTATCTAAGAGTAACTCAGTATAGAGTGCTTGATATAGCGTTTGGTTCAAGAAAATTTCGTGCTTAAACACTGTACAGCAGCTCTGAAACCGATACGCGCTTCTCCCGCTCTGAGCGGCGACACCTCTAGTTAGGTCAAACTCCTCTCCTCGTCCTGGAATACATTTGTCCTAATTATTCGCCAGCCTTTTGGTAGTGCCACTGACAGCATATGATTACACAGCAGTACCTAAGTAGTTATAACCTCCAGGGACGACTATGACTACCTAGGTACCTAAGGTACCTATCCCTAGCTTAAGGGCTTTCGATACTTGAATTTAGCTTGCTAATCACTTCAGTAGTTTATGAGTATATTGTTTGTCATGATACATCAGAGACATCATGCCAATTTTCTTTTCACATCATTCATAACATCCATGCCCGCGAATCTTCGCGTTAATGCTCTCTTCATAATACCATTGTACCAGCCAAACCAACAACCAACGCGACCAAGAACAGCGCACCCGACGACCGATACGCTCCTCCAGTCGGCGGGACAACTGTTGCGCCCGCAGATGTCGTGTTCGGCGCCGTCGACTCGTTCGTGCTAGCGGCTGTGCTTGAAGAGGTAGTTCCAGGACCAGACGTACCATCCGTCTCCGAGGGGGGCGTAGAGCCGGCAGGAACCAGCCCGGAGGGGCTTTCAGCCGGCGGCGTCACCACAACCGTGGGAGTCGTCCACGCGGGGCCCGGCGTCCCGACGCCGTCCGGGTAGTAGTACGTAAACCATTGGTCGCAGTTCTCGTAGCAGGTATGCGTGCCTTGGAATATCGTGTACTCATACGCCTGGTCCTGCGCGAACAGCGTGCCGTGCTCGAAGTCCCAGAGCTCGGTGTCCACCACCTGGCGCTTACGATACGGGTTCGAAGACGTCTGGTAGCTGAGCGTCTTCCCAGAAAGTACTTGAATAGACGTCGCCGCGCAGCTAGGGAACTGGAAGTAGTACAGACTGTACGCGGTCCCGTCGTGCGTGGTGTGTTCGTATATAGTATACGGGATTATTTTATCAGTGTCCTCAAAGGGGTATAATCTGCACCGCATTAGCATTTTCGCTTGTGGTTATCTATCGTGTTATTGACAACTACTTACGTCGGGCAACAATTAACTATGTAGCCGGTAGCGTCGAAATGCCCCGAATAAGCGGACGTATTCCAGGCAGGCGAGGAGTGCGTCGTGAAGGGGGTGAATCCGGCGGGACACCCCGAATAGTAGCTCACCACACCATCTACGGTGACCTGCGGCGCAATGGTATTGTCGGTGCCACTGCGATGCTCAATTGTTCGGAATGGAATGCTACAAGATTCCACGATCTCCCGCACCGGTCCGAAGTTTTTAAGTGTGCATGTGAGCCAGTCTGGGTTCTCATCGGTCACGCCGGAACCCGTGATAAAACAGCTCGTCGAAACAATCCAGTTGTTGTCCGGGTCGTAGCAGTCTGCCGCCGGGGTAAATTGAACCGTCGGAGGCGATGTAATACTCGCCGGCAGCGTGGTTGCTGTTGGGATGACGCTGGTTTGAAGCGCCATGTTAACTTATGCGTAGGGCTGAACAATAACTGAAATACGGTACCAATGAACAAAGCACCATGGGAGAGTACATTCTCACTTATATGCATTAATTGCCACGCTTAATCGTGACTGTGCCGCACCGAGTGTGTTGCCTGAAGTCTAGCCTAGACTCCATTCAGGCGCGTGCCGATGCGCCAAGCCAGCTAATCGCAACGTCTATCGCGAATCATGATCGTAAACGGTTCAGCTCTGCCAAGAACACATGTGCAAGGCTACTTGCAAGCGAAATTATACGCCGTATAGTAAACATTTACGGATACTAAAGAGTCCTTATGGGGCTAGCAAAGCTTAGCTTCATCCTTCCACCACTTTACGACGACGGTTTACGTAGTATCTCGGCGGGGAAAGCTTTTTTCAACTACAACGAAAGATATGCATCAAGATCTTTCCAAACCCTGACTAGGATTGGACTGGCTTTTTCGACCTTAACACTTGTCATAAGAAGTAGAGATTGATGTAGGCTCCGCATAATTGAGATAATCTAAAATTCATAAGCTTCGTATCGATCTGTCGAGGTTCTCGATCAGCCCGCAATCGCATCACTTATAAGGACATGGTACTCTTCTATCAATTCATATGAGAGAAGTCTACGGCCCGCGCCAAAAGGTTCTCTTCCCTAGATAAAACGACGATATCGTTACTAATCTCCATGCCTCAGGCCTTAACTTAAAAACACTTTTTTTTTTCCGAATACCGACCCAACCGTGTAAACATGAATAACTCCAAGTGGAAACGTCTCAAAGTTGCGCGTTGCCATTACTGAATAGCCGCTGTGCTCACCTCGAGAGATGGTAACACATTAATTTGGCTAATGTTGAGAGCCCTAATTGTGGACATATTCGTATCCGAGCCCAGTCAATTGTGGCTACGTGTATAAGTGTCTAAAGACGACAATTATCAACGCATCGTGCTCAAGTCCCAGCTTCAATCACGAATAATCTTTTGCTCCCCCGTCCATACGTCGAGCGCTCTTCTCGGCGTGCACAGAGTGTTGATCTCACTATATACCCCCCTGAGTGGGTGGCCGACTTCGGCAAAGTGAAAGCAGCGATCAAGATCGCCAACGAACTCATTAGCAAAGATCTTCTTCCAACATCACTAGGCCAGCCCCATCCGGATCTCCTACACCATAACCATCGCGTGCAGGCCGACTCTGACGACACTACAGAGACAACAGACAGTCCAGATCCTTTGGACAAAGGCAAAGGCAAGATGTCATCAAAAGACGACCGCACTATGGCCGCAGTGGGAACAGGCCCAGACAATCGAACAGCAGACCAACAAGCAATTCAACGACAGCACGATCACGTCGCGGACACGCGACGAAAGCTCCTGAACACGCCCGAGAAGGTCTAACTATATAATGTCGCGAAGATGGATAAGGTTATCGCTATCAAAAGAACATTGTCGCGAGGACTGGATGCCGACAACGTTATGATTATGACTTTCGACGATGACATCGTGTAAGGGCTACCGACTCCATCTAGATACTCGTGTAAAAAATCTATTGAGGAGAAGGAATTCTGTCTTTCAACTTCATTACTGGCGCTGGCGCCTTAGGTGCTAATTCAATATGCATGCACTCGTGTATGATCCGACGATCAGACACAATTGAAACCAACAAGAGTGGCGACAACCCAATCTTTTCGAACGTCGGAGGTAAAGCTATTGACCAGTCTTAGCAAGGTTTACCGCTGCTGTCGTGTCATTATCGGTATCATAATGGATCTGCCTTTGTCCTTTAAACGTTCGCTGTTGCAGTGATAAACATTCTGCAACCCAGAACGTTAAAGACTGTAATTCATGCCCAACATAGCGTATCTCATTCTTGGAATTTAGTCACATGAATTCGTCTGATCACATATCGAAGTTATGTGCTGGCATTCTGCTGGCACACCGCAATCATCGTGTCTATGAGATTGGGTTGAAAATATGATGAGTCGTCATGATGAAAGAACCGATACTGCTTCAGAGTTCCCCATCATTTCATCAGCGGATGATCAGAAAATTTTCGCTTTTGGATTATAAAAATGAGGGAAGCCCATGATATTCATCATGAAATCAAACAGCCTCTGTTGCCTATCAACCAAATTGAATTTCATATCGCTAGCGAGGATTATTAAGCCTCTCCCTCGCCAACCATGCTCAGTCTTAAGGAATTCTTTCACCGTCTCTCTATCCCACGCTTTCCAATCAGTAACCAAGCTGAGAGAGCCAATGGGGATCAAACCGGAGTAGGAAGAGCCCGCGAGCCAGTACCCGACCATGGGTACAATGCCGAGCATTCTCCTACATGTTCGGTCCAGTCAGGGGTACCTAGCCCTTCATCTCAGGGGGCAGCACACAATGAAGCCTCAGGGCGGCTGATCAAAGAGACTTGCCCTAGAGATATCGTTGTCTCTGCAGTACAGTCCGCCGTGAACCCATATCACCTCGATCAAATAGTCATGGAGCATCAGCAGCCACCACTTCCAGCAGGTTCTTCGGAGGCAAGCAGAAGCAACGCAAAACCTATTGATTACAGCAAGTCCAACAATAAAAACAACGCCATTAGGGCATTCGCGGCCCTGTGTGATCCCCTGAAGAGCTATGAGTCCAATGGCTCGTTCCAATCCACCTGGTCACCAGACCTAGACGAGCAAGACATGCGTGTCATCAGTGGTCTGTTCTCACACCCTGAACTACCTCCCGCCCCGAATGAGATCCGCTGGAAGGACTTTACGCGCACGATGACTCACCTGGGGTTTGGTATAAGGCCGAGAAGACGTGGGGGTGCGAGTCGTCGATTATTTGTCGGGATACAGTACGAGATATTCCCTGCTGGATCCCATGGACATGTCATCACCGTCCATGAGCCTCATCCAAGAATCTCGTTGGATCTTTCGGAGGTGAGAGAGATAGGAAGGAGGTTGACGAATGCATTTGGATGGTCTGCGGAGACGTTCTTATCAGTGTATCACGGGGAATGATCGTCTGTACGATGCCCTATTTTGATTGCCTAAGTACCCCTAACCAGATTGACAT